AGAAGGACCTATATAGAGTATCTGCCAGTGAAAGGAAAGCCCCTCAAGACCTAAACCCAACAGTAACAAATAATGTTGCTTCCCCACCTACATACCGACATGCAAAAACCAGCTGCTACCCCAAACCATGCCCCCTTTATGTCTGCTTGGAGACAGATTGCCCTCAGCTGCCCCACGCTTGTTAGCCAATGACCCAGGCACGCAGTGAATATAACTGTCCCCCCTTAAGCCTCTGCTTTTTTCTGGTGTGGGAGCTCTCCTGAGGGAGCTAGAGTAGGGTTGAGTTACCAGCAGGGTACTTTGTCTGAGCTAGCATTGTGGAGGTGACTGAGATATCTGAAGTTGAGGAACAGGAAAACTTGCTCTGAATTCAGGGGAAAGATCTTTTCAGCTTCTCTTTCTGATGGATTGTGAGATGCTGACAATGATATTGGCTGAACGGTGATGAAAACTCTGCTTGGACTTGCCTTCTAGAAAGGACTTTGTATTTGTATCAGTTTGTTTATGTGCAACCTGCTTCTCTACTGAAACCCACACAGGGCTGCCTTTCTTAGCAAGGGGGAGACTTTTCCAAGCAAAACCCTTATGAGTGAAGAAGAGCCTGCAAGTCTGTGAACAGCTCTGCTCTGCAGCCCTGCTGTGAGACCACCACAGGTACTTAATTCTTGTATCAAGAGCTGGGGTGAAAAAGTGTTTCAGATGGCTTTAATCTGTGTGCTGTTATGGAGGACTGCTTTACTGCTGCTATCTCTAGCTGGGATAGTCTTGGGGCTGCTCTAGCTCTTGTTTACTGGCTGTTTCTGTAGTTTCTCAAAGAGTTAAAGTTTTGGCTTGTAGGATCCTGTCTGATACCTGAGCTATAAACTGCAGGGAGCAAGTCTAAAAGACTTCTACTGGCTCTTCAATCCCTCTGTGGCACCAAAGCACCTCCCTAACATTTTTGGAGAACAACATCTTGGCCTTTTGCTTGCTCTCCTCTATCACTGGAATTTTGGATGCTGAGTGGCTGTGCAACATTGGTCTCTGCTGGGCAGCTACTCAGTTCTGGGCTGTCAGCACTGAAGTGTGTTCTTGACCTGGCCAATTTTGAGGAGGGAAGGAGCTGCTGCACGCGCTTCAGAAGAAAATGCATCTTGGCTAATAGCAAGAGAGCAGCTGATGGCTCCATTGCTGTTGGAGATCCTGTAAAAACCAGGAGCTGCATAAGCCGGTGGTGCCCAGAGGAGGGCATAGCTCAGCTGTGTTAACCAGGCTGTGGTTGCAGGTGTGTTGGGATAGCTGGGATCCTCTCGGGCTGTTGGAAATCCTGAGCTGTATTTCTGGTGCAAGAGGCTGAAGTACAGGTACACACCCACCAGGTGACTGCTGTGAGCATGTCAAGGAGATAGTCCAGTGGTAATTATTGTCTGTAGCAAGCTGGGCTTTTAAATTAATGAACAGCCTGATAATGCACTGAAATAAAGGCAGCTACTGTGCTTTGTAAGGTTAGCCAACACAAAGCTGACTCCAAGTATAATACAAAAAAAAAATTGAAAAGTAGTGATGAACTGAATGACACATATGAAACAGGACTAAGTGAGAGGCTTTGAGCAGCAGGTGCTGGCTGGTTTTGGTCAGGTGCTGGCTGGTTTTGGTCAGGTGCTGGCTGGTTTTGGTCAGGTGCTGGCTATGGTGAGAGCAGACGGGCTGCAGCTGCAGAGCTGGTGCTGGTCAGGGAATGCAGCTCTGGGGGTCTTGCAGGGAGCTGCCTTCCTGTGGAGGTCTGCTCTGATCCTTCCTGATGTAGTGGAGGGGTTTGGTCATGTGTGGAAAGCCCTTTCAGTCACATCAGGGAGAGGAGCCTGTGGTTCTGCTCTCTTGTGAGTTGTTGGCTACTGTGTGCTAGAAGTGGCTCTGGATGCTTTACTGCTGATGTTGGAGGGGGGGTATTTTTTATAGTATGGGGGTCAAACCACCAACGACTATGCTTTTGAACTGCACCAGAAATTCACTAAAGAGCAAATATCTAGCTGTAAAATTCCCTGGTTGGCTTCAGCTCTTGCCTGGTAGAGAGGATACCACTGTTCAGCAAACTGTGCTTCTGTCTGCTTTGCAGCCCTTCTCTTGCTCTTCCTGCCAGGTTTTGAACTGTAGGTACGGGGTAAGTCAAAGCTGATCAGGAGAGAACAAATTCACCCTGTGAAGTTGGCTTCAGACTGCAAGTGCTTGAGGTCCTGCTTACTCTTGTTGAGAGCTTGATGTGCTCTCTGAGAAGCCCCAGAGTTGTCAGGTGGCTTGCTCCTCCTGTGGGACAGTGTCTGGGCAGAAGTATGCTGAGTGAAACTCAAATCTAGGATGGGACAAAGATTTCTAATGTTTTCCAAAGCTCTCCCACCTGAAACTGGAAAGCCAAGGGTTCTAATTACTTTCACAATATTTTTATTGGAGTATTCATTTGAATTAGTTGTTCTGATGCTGCTAAGTTAAAACTGCTGGTTATCAGCTGCTGCTGAAAGCACTTTCATTTTGAAAGATTATTTTAATTCTATCCTCTTTAGTTACAGAGGACTTAGTGTAACATTGTCAAGGGTAGGCTTTGTGTTAGGTGACCGAGTTGCTGTTTGTTTTCAGCCTACAAGCATCCAAGGGCAGGGCTGGGTGTCTGGTGCAGACCAGGCTGAGCTCCTTGAGACAGGTTGGCCTTGCTGCTGGACTGGTGGGCTGTGGCGCTTGCAGTGTAGCTCTGATCTAATGTTGCTTGTGTGCCTAGGCTGGGCTAACTTGACTGTTAGCATTGGCATTTTGGGTTTAACCACATTTAATGCATCTGTCTGTGTCTGTAGACAGTTCTGAAAATTAGATAAAGGTTTCTGAATGGCAGAGACACTTTAAGTGCTTTCCTAATTTCTTGCCCTTTTTGTTTTTAATTAAGAATAAAAAACATGTGGCAGCTGGTGCCCAGCTTGTTGAAAGAGCAGACAACTATATTGCACAGATTTAAATACAAATCACATGCATTTTTGTTGCAATACTGTTGTCCAGAAGTGGTGGATCTCAGCGGAGTTGGGCAAATGGGAATCATTTGCTGTCAAGTGATGTAGACAGCGTGATGAACTGAGGCAATGAGCTCTGAAACAGAGAAGCTCCAAGATGAACACACGGTACTGAAACCTCTGACTGGCTAGGACCTCTTAAAGCCTGGGTGTAGCACAAAGGTATGGGTGAAAAGCCATAAAGAGATGCAGAAAGGTTCCTTTGTTCATGTTGCTGCTGTAACCTCGGTCTGCTGATGTGCCACACTGACAGGCTGCAGTGTAGCAGCCAGGAGAGGGAATGGGAGAGCGCTCCCCTTGCTGGGTATCGCCAAACAGCTTCACCCTCCTTTGAATGTGACCACATTAGAGGTGTGCCCTTTGGCTACTTGGTGGAGAGCACAGTTTCATTGCTTCTCTCCTAGTAGGCAGATCTGGAGCAGCAGTAAGTCATCCTCACCTCTGCTGACTCTGGGGAAGTTGTGCCACTTCAGAGCTGCTGTCTCTGATACTTGTTTTTTTGGTGCTAAGACAGTCTGCCTACTTTATTTTTGGCTTCAACCCTTTTGTTCTTTTAAAAGATGCTTCCTTGGTGTGCAAATCAAACTGAATTCGGAGTCCTGTAGCCTGTCTAACCTTGTCACAAGTGACTTATTTGGGAGTATCTGTTTCAATGCACATCATGGCTGATAGCAGAAATTGTTAGATTTGCAGTGATTTTTTTCTATGCCTTGTTCTGATATTGATGTATTATTCTGAATGGCTGGGTGTTTGTGGCACTGTGGGTCCTTGATAGCCTGGGAGTGCTGAGCCCTCGGTTGCTGTGCTGTGTGTGTCTGCCTGGGGCTCACCTTGCTGTGGCTTCCTCATGCTCCCTGAATCCACTGGCCACACAATGGAGCACAAGGATTTGCTGGGGTACGGTTTACAAATGCGCAAGGAATGATTTAAGGCAAATTTAATTGGGGTTTATTAGTGGATGGGGTCATAACACCTCAATTTGTGAATAGCTTAATGTCCCATAGCATACAGCAGTGTGGTCTAGGAGTTAGAGCACTGCCCTGACGATTCCAGTGTTTGCTGGTAGCTATTGATTCACTGTTAATCATCTTGCAGCTGTCTCAGCTTTTCTGTAAGTTGTTTTGAGATCCACTGTGGGGAGCTGAGTATTTGTTACGCACAGTGGTGGAAGCAGAACTTGCCTTTCCATGGCTGCTGTACAACTGGAGATTTTCAGCTCCAAGGATTGTGAAAAGGGATGGAAGAAAAAACTGAAATAGAAAACGGGTCATTTGATGCAGCAGAGGTTTATTATGTGAGTTGTTATATACCGTAGAGAATAAAGTAACACAGACTATAGAGCAAGTACTCTCTGACTTCCAGCAGATACATCAGAGGCTGATATTTTAGTAAGTGCTTCCAGAGTGAGTTGCTTCACACAGCAGACCCCCTTGACTTGAAAGTGTCTCCTTGTTTCCACCATTTTACATTTACTTATTTATGTTGGCTGCATATGAAACAAAGCACAGAATTAAAAACAGTTTCTGTACAAAATCTTCTCTGAAACAAAGCTGAAAGCAGAAAGAAATGTGTGTTTGTATCAGTATTAGCATGGAAGGACTTTTTTTTTTGGCACTGGGCTAGCTGAGGCCACTTTGACGATGCAATGTCATCAATGTGAGTGATTATGCCCATGGCAAAACTCATGTATCCTTTACACTGGCAGTCACAGAAAAAACTTCATGCAGTTGAGATCTGAGCCCACTGTAGATGGTAGGAGACTATAGATATGAAGCGGAGACTGATGCAGAGTATAACATGAAAAGGATTAAATAAGGTCCGGTTTGTAAAGGTGTCAGGATGTCCACAAGCCCCAGTGATTACAGCAGGAGAAGAGCTGTGCTTCTGAAAGCTGTGCCTGTGAACTCAGCTGTGGGTGTGCGTCTTGCTCTTCATTGCCTGGTTGTTCTGTGGGCACCTCCATGGAGCTTACTGCTGCCCACAGTTGTAGTGGTAGCTATTGGACCACTGGTATGAATAAGGGTATGAGCTGTGCCGGTACACATGAGCTGGAGCGCACACCTGATGGCATCTCGTAACGCACGGCTGTCCACAGTGTGGCACGCAGAGGTGTTCCCTGCCCTGCACGTGGGGCTGAGGGAATGCCATGGTGCACGGATCAGGAGGCCTGGGTCCACAGGAGGAAGACTGGCTTTCCACAATGTGTGTCTCAACGCACTGTGGGGAACATGGTGCGGAGCACTGAGGGCTGCTGCTCTGCATGGTCTTCCTCACAGCGCACATCTTGGCGCCTTTGGAAGCACATGGTGTGCATGACACGCACCCCACCGCACTGGGGTTGTGGCACTGTGTGAGGACCGGCGTGGCGTACTTCACTCCACCTGGAATATAGCACTGCTGCTTGTATTGGTACCCATAATAAGCCATTGTTCTAGGGTGGAGGAGAATCTAAAAAACAAAGTAGGGAAGAAAGGTAAATGAATTCCCTGCAGATCACTGCCTGTGTCTGCCAAGCTGCCTTTCTGCTGCTTGACTTTGCTGCTCTGACTCTCAGCTCTCATCTCTGTAGCAGCCACCGCACAGCACTGCATTTAGCTAAAGATCTCTTTCACAGCTTTGGATGTCATGTGGAGCAGGTAGCTATTATCCCTAGAAGAAGGGGAGTTTCAGGCATAGCTGCAAAGTGACCTGCATGCTTCAGCTAGTGAGGCAATGGTGTATCTGGGATTAGTGCTGAGGTTCTCATCTTTTTGTGGCAAGGGCTATCATTTATTTGCTTTCCAGACGCTTCAGTTGAAACTGGAATGGCTTTCTGCTGGCACTAAGTAAAGCAAAAGAAATCATTGCCCTTTATACAAATTTAAATTGCAGAACAGAGGATTGTTATCTTTGCAATTGGCAAGGTGACATGGCAGAGCTCGTTTTTTTTTTTTAAAAGCCTAAAGTTCGTTAGGGACAGAGTGACTTTTGAAAGTCCGGCTCAAGCTGCGTGTGTCCCATATGAGTAGAAAGAGTCAAATGTAACTCTCTGCATCTCAAGACGCAGCCGTGTAGTTTCTTCATTGGCTGCTCCATACTCTGCTGTCTCTTGCTCTTTCTCTGAGTTTGCTCCACTAGAAGCTGCGGACTAAAGGGCTGCAAGAATCACAGGAGGTACCTGCTCATGTCTGCACTTCAGCTGCCTGAATTAGCGTGTGGAGCACCCTGTACTGCCAGGGCTGAACTGCTCCTGGCATGGAGATGACCTGCCTTGAAGGCAGGAGGGCGCAGGGTCTGTCCCAGCTGCTGGGAAGTGGCATTGCCTAGCTGTGGAATGTCAGAGCGGTCCCTGCCCTACATGGAAGATGAGAGGTGTCCATTCCAAAGATGTGATTGAGCGTGGAGAAGTGCTGATACCTTGGATTTCCTAATTAAATTTTAAAATCTGACTGCAAATCAGCTTTCCTCAGCACCAGCAAATGGCCCTTGGGCGTCTGTACTTTGCAATTTGGTGGCAGTTGCTTTTGCGGATATGCAGGACTGCTCTAAGAACAAGCTCTCAAGGGTCAGGTCCCAGCTACTGTAGATTAACATAACTTGTTTACAAAGGTGTCAGCTGACAATTAACTGCAGACACAGGAGAAATGCCAGGCAGGAGTGGATCAGGGGGTTTTTGCAGTATTTTGAAAGTGGGCAGGTAATATTAGCTCTTGTAAAGAAGAATCCCCCAAAAAGTGTGTATAAAAGGGCTCTTGAATATGCAGAAGCCAGATAAAAATTAGCCTCTGTGGTACAATAGAAGTAGTCTACATCAGTCTCTGATTAGGATGGTAAAGGTCAGCTGCCAACAGAGATAGTTACTTGAACTACTAAAATAAGCGTCCTCTAATATAGGAGAAATCTAGAATTAATTTTTTTCCAAGTAAGTTAGAGATATAGGTCCCTAAATAGTCAGGTCAAAGTGGAAACTTCACATGCTAAATTGGGTGAGGTTCTGTAAATCTCAGGCTCAACTTTAAAAGCCTGTATCTGCCTGTAAAAAAAAAAAACCAAGAAAGATCCTTTAAAAGAAACAGTCCTCTTAATTTGCAGTGTCAGCATATTTCTGCAAGATCTAGATTCACGTTCAAAGTATCAACAAAAGGATATTTTGCTAGTTAGAAACAGAAATAGGCAAATAACTTACCGAGATCAGTTCTTACCCTTCGCTGTGGATTGAAAGCTTGGAGATGCGTGTTTTTATATGCTGTTTTAGACGGCATGGAAAGCCTGAGCCACTCTGTATCAAATCCTAATTAGATACAGGAGGGAATTTGTTCTTATGCCACTTTTTTTATTGGCTGTAATTATTTTACTTGCTTGTGATTATTAAGATATTTTTATCCCCAAATACCATAAAATACACCTCACACCCTGCGAGTTCTTTCCATTTAAAATCTTTATGGGAGAAGTAAAAGCTGCCTTTGATTCCGTTGACCTCGCTAGTTATGTAAAGACATCTATTCCTCTCCTCTTAAAGCTTCTTTTGTCAGATTGACACTCAGGAAGCAGCAGGGGGAAGTGGGCAGTGATCATCCTTACTCCATTTTCCCTTTTGTTCATTTAAACGCAGGTAGGCAGCTGGGGCCATTGAAGGGTCTGGCTTTGCAAAGCAAGGCTGGGAGAGATGTACCCAAAGCTTGACACTCAGCTACTCCTCCTGTGGCTGATCTAGTGCTCTTCAAACTTAATAGGAGTCGTTCCCGGATTTTATTAGGCTTTGCGTTTTTTTGCTTTTTATGGCTGGAAACAAGGTCAGTGGAAGGTGTGCAGGCAACCTGATAATGCCTTTTGGTGGGGTGTAAAACCCTCAGGGCTGTGTCCAGGACTTGTCCTGTGGCAAATCGAAATCTGCTTAGAAACTGGCAAGGAATCATGACTTTGCTAAGGATTTAAAAGCTGCCTGTGGGGGCAGGGCTTTACGCAGGCAGATGTGGTCCTACAGGCATGCTGATTTGATTAGCAATTGTGTTGGTGATGTCTGGTTATGTTCCTTTGGTGAGAAACGGAGAATTGCTAGGTTGGACCAGATTATGGCATTCCAGTGATGGCAAAGAGGGGGAGTGCTTTTCTAATGACCCCATTATCTTACTCTGTGAGCATCCCAACAGCTGCTGGTTTGCACCTAGACCTCCGCTGTGCCTGTACATGTGCACTGTGCATGTCCACCAGAAGGGAAACTGCTCCCTGCACGTGATGTAATTAGTAGCCTTTGACGTAGAGACGCATCTTTTAAATTGGGTATGTGCTGGCATTCATTATAATGGAGTTCAGCTTGAAGAGCTTTGCTGATGTCAAACATTAATGAGCATTCGTGAGGAGTTTCAGGAGGTCCTGTTGGGAAGATGCTATTTAATAGCCTTGGTCAGTGCTAGTCTTGTTTTATGTATGGGTAAACACAGGTCTGCACAAGCACAGTACCTGTAAGGGCTGTCTTAGGCTATCAGTAAAGCTGAGGTGTGGGGTGAGAATAGGCTCTGATACAGGTCATGCCATGAGCCATAGCTGTGGCTTGATAAAGTTCAATGTTTTGTCTTTTTTCTTTCCAGCTCTTCTCTTTAGAAGACAATCAGCTGGATTTAGCAGTTTAGCTGCCTGATTTTACATAACTAGTAAATATAATAAAAGTTTGTATATTATAAAGGGGGAATATAGTTATAACCCTGAAGGCTGACCCTTGTTGCAACCCCTTGTTTTGGGACAAAATGATGGATACAGGCAGCAAGACTAGCGCTTCATCTTGATATCACATACTAAGCAATAGCCAATGCCCTCTGCCTCAAGGGGAAATATTTTTCCCAGTGGGCGTGCAGATAATGCAATGTCCAATTCTCATAATGCAGAGGAAATGCTCAGAGGCAGGAGCCTTCATTAGCAATCCCATCTCTGCATTTACCTTGGTGTAGTACCAGTGTAGTGGATCTTCACCTTCCCATCGCACAGCCCATAACACAGCATGGAGAGCCTCAACTGCTGGGTAATAACCCTCAGCAATGGAAAATGGGTATTTCCTGTTTCTCAACCTTCCTGGTGAATCTATGGCTCATGGCTTAATGCATGAGCTATCACATGGAGCAATGAGAATTATCAGGACCAGCTGATGAGATTGAGAGCCCCTTGTAGCAGTGCATTCTGTAGTGGAGGATATGTCTGGGTGGGAAATTCTCCATTTCCCATTTGTTGGAAGCAATCACAAATCTTGTTGTGATGCTAAGCCCAGTGCGGGCTTTCTTCAAAGCATGTTGTCTCTGTAGCTGTTTACATCTATAAAATTCAAAGCACCTAATGGAAGGCTTAGTTGTGGGAAAGTGTGTCATTCTCTGCAGAATAATGTGGTGATGCCAGGTGGTTTGAAGCTGGGGTGGTGGTAAGTGATAGGTTTGGCAAAGCGTACAGGGCACCAGTTTTATAGCTGTTCTGTGTAGCGGAGTGCAGGCATCAAGGCTGTCTTTGGAGTGTTTGCAGCACACCTCCAAGCCTGTCCTGTTTCTTTTTGTAAGCTGGGCATCAAGCTGTGTGGCTGGGCATAGTAACTCTGGGCTTTTACTCATGGGATATCTAAAGCCTGGTTCTTTAGAAAGCTTTTTGCCTTGGAGAGAAACAAGGCATAAAATGCAATCTTTTAATGCAAAGGAAAAGTGGAGAGCACAACTGCTATCTGAAGTAAAGCAAATTAAGATAAATGTAATTCCAGGGTTTCAGTAGGCTCTGTGTAAAATTTACACACTTTCACACGCAGCTGCTGTCTGTTCACAGACTTTATGGTACTGCGAACTTTAAGACAAAGTGGGGAAAACTTTGGTGGCTTCTCATGTCTGTGTTCTTTGTTGTGAAATGAGATGTGCTAAGCCTCTCCAGGTTACTGTCTACTTAGCTGTAGCATGGCAGTTACAAAAGCAGTAGAGCTGATCGCACATACCTAGTTGGAGGAGGAGAAACCAAGAGAAATAGATGAAGATCTGAGCCTCCAATGACTTTTGTTATAACTTCCCTAGTCAGCCTGGCAGAGAGGATACCTTTTTGGGCACACAGTCCTTATTAGCCAAAGCCAACATGTAATTGATGTAATTACTTCTAAGGTTCCTGTCTCGCCTGTTGCGGTGTGCACGTGTAGCCACACACTTTCTTGAGTTTTAAACTTCATAAATTACATCTATTTCTGGTGGTGTTTCAATGGTCTTAGGGATTGGACCCTGGATATCTCTCTGCTTGTTTGAACAGTATAATCAAATGGATGTCTTCAGAGAGCTCCCTGTTCTTGTGGTGAGCTCTAGCTTGGTCCTTTACCGTTTTATACGTCTTTCCTGCATATCCTTACAGACACGGGACTACTAAAGTCTTTGAAGAATTTTAACATTTCAGTTGATACTGAATGTGTCCTGTCAGCGCTTTCTGAGTATTTGAAGGTGCTGATGGCTTGCCTGTAGCTCAGGTGTTTTTTCTGTCTCCTGATGGATACAAAGGTGATGATTTTTGTGTTTAGTACCTTTAGTTTTTGAGGTGCTGGGATTTGACTCTTAAGCTTGTTTTAACTGATATATTGAGCTGACATGTGCACTGTTTAGTCTCATTACTTATAGATGCTCTCTTTAGGTACTGAGTTTTGGTTATGGTTCTCCAGTTGACTCATCATTTTTATTTGCCTGCCTTCTGGTAGTGTATGAGCTGGCAGTTGTAATACGCTTTTTTTAAAAAAAAACCCCAGCATATGACAACATCAGTTGTGTAGAACACTAATGAGCTTTACAATGTGCTTTGAAAGTGCTTTCAGAAAGCGTTGGCATGCCTATTGTCAGTGTTGTTAACCTTTCTATTCAGATAAAGGAACCCTGCAGTGACATTAACCCCAAGCAGTCTGCAGCAGCGAAGGAAACAAATCCCAGCAGCGTGGATTCCTCTCACATTGTTTCAAGACAGAATTATTAATACATTTCTAAAATAAGACTTAACATTTTGATTTATCTTCAGCTGGCTAATTTGAAAGTAGTAATTAGGTATAAATTCCAATGTTTTTGAGCAATTACTTTAGAGATAAATTACTACTCAATCAAAGCTGAGATAAAGACGTGTTGCAATTCACATGGTTATCTTCAATTATAGAAAAGGCAGAGCCAAATTTCCAAAGGAATTACAAATATCTTATGTCATACTCAAACATTATGACACTGAAGATAAGACTCAGTATGCAATTAAAGTAGGAAAGCATCCCAGTCGTTTCCCATTGCTGTGTTTCTACTCCACATATAATGCAATGGGGTCTTGTTCTGCCCTGTGGAATAATTTTTCTGCCAATCTGATGATATACAAGATGTTTCCCCTAAGATTCTTTGGAAGGGGGGAGCTTTGTTCTGCAGTGTTACTACATCCACTCTAACTCCACCAAGGGAAGAATTTTCCTTGCAGGAACATGCTGCTGTTGGGAGAAAGTGAGAAAGCTTTGAGGTGCGGTTAAGTATAATATGACAGCTCAAACAAGTCCTCTCTGTACAGAAGTAGCAAAACGTCTTTGTTTTTAAGTAAAATGAAGTGTAAATCAGAATAGACAATTTACTGCCCCCTAAGGCTTGGTGGGAGTGTCTGTACGGCATAAGCCATTGCCATCCTTGGCACCTGTTGCTGATTCTACTGCTGTCGGAAACCTGCTGCCCCATGCTGCTGTTTAACACTGATGATAACCCCACAATGGTAGTTGCAATTCATCAGCAACTGGGATTCCAAAAATGCATCTTCCACTTGTCCTATTTGCGCAATATGCTTTATTATTATAATGGCTTTAGGTGCCCTTTTATTGAAGAAGCAACTCAGTGGAAAAAATGCCTGACAAGGTCTTGCTTAAGCCACACCCTATGTATTGTCCTTTTGCCATTCCCTTAATCAGGTCATGATTTATACCTTCATGGTATGAAACATTTAATTTCATATAAAATATGGCTTTACTCTTTTTTCCTTTTTTTATTGTTAAATCTTGTATGTTTAAAGAAACCCATGCTTGGTGTCTAATTGGAAGAGATGCACTGACTTATTTGGATATATAACTCTATAAAATTCAGGATTTCTGCAGTATGCCAGAGCTTTGACCAGACTTCCATCACAGAACCATGAACCTGACTACCCCTTGGTCAAGAACACAGGTTTTGCAACTCTTCCTGGGCTGAATCAGTACACTTTCTTCCATGCAAATGGCTATTTACCACCTGCCCAGGAACAAGTCCATTCATGGAGGACATCAAGCATGAACCATATAAACATTTTGTCTGTCTTCACTACGCAGAAGCAGAGTATCCCCTCTATATAAAGTTTTGAAATAGCAGAGACCGGAAGGCAGTAAAGTACAGGTCATACAGGGTAGAAGGACAAACTAATAATTACGAAGAATGATTTCTTTAAAACAACGGACATTCATTAACAAAGTTAAGTCTTGAAAGAAATGTGTTTAGTAATTGATTAGGATGTTATGCACGTAGGTGATTCATGCTTTGGGCAGTCTAAGGGTGAGTATAAAAGTGCTCAACATCAGATCTTGCATGATCATTTCTCTTGTCTTACTTCTCTTGTGAAGTAGGTAAGTTTCACCTGAATTCCTCTTTCTGACAAAGCCTTTGCTTGTAGTTTTAAGTCAGGGTGAATCCTGTGCAAATGTTCTGATATCAGTCTGAAGATTTCATGATGTAGATTAATAAATTTGTGAAAGTTCAGCTATTGGCTTTGGTAAATGTAGATCTGGCTGACTACCTCCAGTTAATTTTTCATGAAAACTCATTTCCAGATGTTGTTGTGTTCAATACAAGATTTGTAGGTGTTTTCTAGGAACCGAGTTATGAAACTTCTGCCTTTCCCTCTGGCCTATTGGTAGTCTTTTATTATAATGTTTGATTGTGAAGCTTAAGAATTTGTGCCTTATTTTTATACTCTTCCCTTGCACTTCAGATTAACCATCCCTGCAAAATGGTGCACACTTTAAGCCCATGCACTGATGGTGCTGCCTCCCCGTGTGGGGTGGCTGTGCCACAGCCCATTGCTGACAGCTGCAACGAGCCCTGTGTCCGGCAGTGTCCTGACTCCAGGGTGGTGATCTTCCCTCCGCCGGTGGTTGTGACCTTCCCAGGACCGATCCTCAGCACCTTCCCACAGCAGAGTGTCGTGGGATCTGAAGGAGCCCCTGAAGTTGGAACTGGCTTTAGTGCTGCCCGTACTCCTGGGGGCTCACGTGTTTATGGTGGTGCCAGATGGGGACGAGGATACCCAGTTGGAAGCTGTACACCGTGCTAAACCTAGTGGGAGTTGCTACTGAAAGAAGAATGTCCAGGAGATGACAAGCAGGATGTAGATATGTGGTTGAGCTCCAGAGCACAGCATTTAAGAAGGGCTGAGCATTTGGGATTGCCATTAAATGCATCTGTAGATGCTCAGATCTTCCGAAAAATCCATTTACATCCTTCTCATCCTTGCCCTTCCTGATTTTCTAATGCCTTCCTAGCTTTCTAAGTGCTCTGTTCTTGATGCTATGGACTATATTGCTAATTCCTTGGGGGCTTGTAGGTATCATTGTGATAAGGTAAAGGGATCCGGAATGACAACCATTTTTGATCCATTTGTGGGCTCTTTCTGTGGCTACTGGTGCATAAAAAAGGGTGGTGGAGTCAAGTAGCCCATGTTCTGTTTCTGTGCTGTATGTGTCTTGCTGTGATTAGGGATGAGTAGCAACGCAGAGCCGCAACAGGGTAGTGACATCAGTTATTACATGAATCATCTTGCATCAAACCACAGGTTGCAGGCAGCTTGTAATCTGTACTATGTAATCCTGTCTCTGTATGATCTTCATTTCTCATTAAACATGACATTGCAACATGTTATTGGCCTCTATGCGTGTGTGCATGTCTGCGTGCGTTCCCCTCTGCTCCTCATTCAGGTGCCTTTGTCCTGCTGGACCAAACTGATCCTATCGGTCTGCTTCAGGACAATGATATTCTTGAGAGATTTGGCAGTGGGTTGTGCGCGCGCTTCCTTTCCACAGCAACATCTGTGCTCTAGCTGTGGCTTCATGAAACTGCTGCCCACATCTTTGCTTTCGTTGTTTTTGGTCTTGCTCAGCTTTGTGGATCTCTTTCCTCAACATTGGCTTTTCTGGCACGGTGTGTGTTACCCGGAGTCCTCAGGCTCAACCTTCCTGCCCAGGGAGTTGTGATAAAGTGCATCAGAGAAGAGGTGTGTGGAGGGTCAGTGTTACTAAGAAGAATCTGAAGCCAATTGTTAGGTAAATGCAGCTATTTTTGAGTGTAAAATAAATTTCTGAATTTTACAGCTCTGCTCAGTGTTTTAGAACAACGTAACCTATGCATGAGAAAATGGATGGTGACCTTCATTCATGAAATTTTGAATTTCTTCAGGAGTACCATGACAATAAACATTTCACAAGCTTTCCACGCTGCTGTATGTGTTTGAAATGTTATGTAGCATACTAATACTTTGATATAGGAACAGTATAATTCAGTATTGCAAACTGACATGAAAATGCTGGATTATTTCATAGTTGTCACTCTTCGAAGAATTATTATACTTATGTGCAAAGAAAACAAAGTTGACCAGGCCTTATAATAGTGTGTAATTGACTGGTAGTGAGCCTTAGATGAGGTGATTAAACCAGACTCTCACCAACCACATAAATGCTTCTCTACAAAAGAGAAATCCCCCAAACCTCAAAAGCCAGATGAAGGAATCTTTATTGTTATGTTAATGGTGTGTTTGGAAGTGAACTGAAGTTTATTACTGAAGCCTCTCAAGTTGCTCTTTCCGTGTGGTAAGTTGAGACTTGCAGTTACCACAAGTGTCAGTAAAATTAGGAAATTTTGCCAGTGTATTTCTATGGAACCATTTAGAATACAGCTTTTTATTAATTTTGATAGAAAACCCACTCATGTGAAGAGCTCTGAGGCTTTCGGAGGACTAAAGATATCAAGTATCTTGCTAAGAATCTACCAATGTCTTTTTTTTTTTTAGATGGTAGAAGCATTTGTTAATGTCTCGATTCATTATTGCATCACAGGCTAAGAATATTCATCTAAACACAGTGAATTTTGAAATGCTTTGTTTCTCTCATTGCTCCCAGTAAGGCTATTTTTCTTATACTATGGTCCACTTCCCTCTCTCTTAAAAGGTTTTGTTGTAATATTGCCCTCTAAGAAATATTTTGAAAAATGTTCTAGTCCATTTTGTGCAATAGTCAGGGGCCCAGTTTTTCACTTGGGATAAGTTTACTCTCTAAAAGTGATTGTCACTCTTGCAGTGATTCTTTGTGCTGGAGGAATGTCCTGCAGCATGCCTCATGTGTGGGTTGCTCACAAGGTGCATTTAAATTGGTAATTTCCCACATGCATGCAGTAAATACATACTGCTTCAGACTGGCATTCAGAAGTTTAAATGAAATTACAGGAGTTAGTTTTCTGTTAGCTAAATTAGCCATCTGTCATCTATTATGATTATATCTCATAGGCAGGCATAAAGTTCCTCTAATCATCCAACTTTTCTTAAGCCTTAGGGCATAAAACCCTATGAAACAGGGAAAATGCTCTTCACACACCACTGAACTCAGGTATATGAGAAACTCAGAGCTTCCTGAGATGTTAGGATGGATCCATGGGAAATGAGCATCAGTGTTATTGACTGCTGCTCGGGGGGCCAGGGAATGGTCTGGACCCCAATTCAGCAGTGATTTAGGACTTCTTGAATCCCTGTGATCTGGAATGAATAGGTAATAAAATGATCCAGTCCCAGTCTGGTAACTAAAGGCTGAGAGCCCAGGTTAGGGGCACCTGGGGTGAGAAACTGGTTTCCCTCCCTGGGTGGTGGTTGGGCTCTAGCGTTTGCATAAGGCTGACCTGCAGCAGGGCAGGATATCCTGGCTGTGCCCTGGATCCCTGGAATGGGGGGAGCAAGGGGGGGGCTAAGGTTGCTTAGCTGGGAAGCAGCAGCAAGGCGCATTGGGGGCACCCCTGGTGCTGCGCACAGAGCTGGAGTCACAACTAGAGCAGCGGCATCGTCAAAGCGAAAAGGGAAGAGAGATGGTGCCCGGGTGGCTCTGAGGCAGGCGGTGAGTCTGGGAAGGCTGGGGTTGGCAGGCAATTACAGCCTGTGAGCCACGTTCCCCAGGCGCTGGGTGGTGATTGCACCCGCTGTTGGAAGTGACAGTGCCTCTGGTAATGAACTGAGTGGGATGTGGTGAAGGCAAGAACCATCATAAATACTGCTGCGTTGGCAAACACGGGCAGGGCCATGATGTTTAAGTTGGGGCCAAAGGACCCTGGGTAGGCTGAGAATCTCACCTAAATCTTTGGCCTTCTGTGTCTTATTCTCCCTCTCTTCCTGTGCATCTCTGCCTAAGTCTTTCTGCCCTGTATGTGCAGGTGGGGAAATCCTTGTGTGCCAGAAGACAACCAAGGGAGATAAGCTGAATTTGTTGTCCTAGGAGACTCCACCATTTCTTAATGTTTTCCCTGGGGAACCCAGCCCTCTTTTGCTGCTGACAGCAGCTAGCAGAAGGATTACAAAAGCTGTCTTAATAGCTTTGACAGTTTCAACGAGTTGTACTGATTTACTGCTGACGTGCCCGGCTAGGGTGGAGGTTGCTGCCCATACCCTCTTCCTGAGGCATCCTGATCTGGCTCTGTCTTGCCCAAACTAGGACACATAGAGGTGAGCAATGAGGCAGCAGATCAGGCCCATCTCTTGGCTGTGTCTGCTCCTTCTCGGACAAGGAAATGGATTGGCGAGGCTCATCTTCTGCTGTGGTCCAGTTCAGGGTTAAATGGTTTAAGTGAAAGCAGTGACAAATATGGAAAGAAATGGACTTTGGACTGGAGGAATACCATTTACATCTCGGGGACTATTCTGCTAACTGTTACTGTTTTTCTACTTATGAAAGTGCTTCTCCAGTCTGTTCAGCTGGTTACTTTCTTGACCCTTTCCTTCACTCTGCTCTGTCAGCTGAGGAATGCAGAAATGCTTGTGTGGGTAGCCACCATGAGAAGAGGATGAGAAGCTGTTTAGGGTATCTCTTGAACATCAGCCCAGAGGTGACCCCTCACAGTCACTTCTGCAACAAGATTTTTGACTCCTGGTGATGTCTTTGATGTATAACTGGGCTTGCATAGGATCCATGCAGTTTTGTCTAGGCTCTGCTTGTTGAACCACCTTGTTTCGTGCCAGATTATAATCTTTAATATTATAAATCTAAATCAAGACTACTCAGTCGCCTAAGGTGACACAGTAGAGGCTGACAGGAACTCCTTGAGTAACCTGGCTGTTCGGTTTGCAAAGCAGATGATCCCTCCAGTGGATGGTCATGGCTTGCTTGCCTTTGGTCTTTTCTTAGCTGTCTTTTACCTTGGGTGTCATTGCTGTCTTTCCTCGGCAGACCATGAAGCTTTCACTCAATCTATTGCTTCTGAAAGTTATTTTTCAAGCACGAATCCCAGTTTGCTCTGGGAAAGTATGTGTTTGGTAATACAGGCAGTCAGGTGATGACCTTTTCTAGAGAAGTATTTGTGTAAACTCAGGGTCTCAGGTTAGTTAAAATAAGGCAGAACTTCCTGCTCTGGGAAATGAGTCAGGGCTGGAGCACTTCAAATGGAGATGTGGTGATATTCTCTAACATCTGGAGTCTAGACCTCCCTCTTATCGTAGGGTTGGTTAGAGTGGCAGTGCTGCTGGTCCCTTTACAGCGGTATATGAGCACAGACAGAAGGAGAAGACTGGACATCTGATACTATTAAGCAGAGCAGTTTTAATGAAAATGAGAAACAGTGAGTAACAGAAAGAATAAATTTCTGGTTTCACAAAAGGGTCTTCAGCAAGCAGAGTGTGTCTGATGATAGATGATGCTTTGTCCTTGTGGAAATGGTGGAGTTTGACAGTCCAGGCATGTTTCTTTCTTTGCAGAGTTGCCTGTAAATCATGTTCCCTGCCAGATGAGGCACAGCATGGATATATAACAGGAGTTCCCTACTAGATGCCATCTTCAGTGAAGTGTATAGCTGAGCAAAGTGGGCTTGTTCATGGTGGTTGCAGAAACTCCTATTACTATGGCAATACGAAGTGGCTGTGAATTAACTCAAAAGGCAATTTACTCACACCTGAAAGTCTTGCTTTGCTTCATCGACACGCTGTAAAGATGCCTCAGTACTTGCTGTAACTCAAGTTGTCCTTTAGCGTAGTAGTTGAAGAGACAGGAGATATTAGAGAGGGTTCTATATGGGGTAGTCTTACATAGCCCGGCACTCACATGTCCCACTGAACTCAACCAGAGGCATGGGTGCTTGGCATTTCTCAGCACCGTAATCCTAGTCATGAATCCGTGTCCTGCATTTCATTTCTTGCTATTTCTGCTGGTTCAGCATGGATAGCAGTTTCAATAGATGTATCTGTTTCCAAAATGAGAAGAGAAGGGGTAGCCGTACCCAAATCCATACAAGTCCCTATACCCATAATAGCCCCCATAACCAATCAAGCCTCTGTTCCCATACAGGCTCCCAAAGCTTCTGTAGCCATATGGGCTGCCATATCTGTACTGGTCCCGGTGGTAGCCGTTCAGGCCCCCAAAACCATAGAGGTCTTCATAGCCAAATGGTGAACAGTACCCATCATCATAGAGGTCCCTGTAGAAAGTCATTGTTCGTTGATGCAGGTAAACCTGAAACACACACCCAGAAGCCAGGTGAGGTTATGGGATGCTGACAGCAGGAGGAAAGGCTCAAAGCTTGGACAGAGATGAGGAAATGCAACTTGCTCCCCGCTGCAGGTCTTTTTCATCCTTTTAACCATATAGTTTATTTTTCTAATCTCCTGAATCCCATAAAACTCTTCCATTTTTTCCCCCTCACCTTTTGAAAATGGCTGACTATACATAGAAAATATGTTTTTGTACCAAGTGAGAACTGAACTTTCCCACCCCAGAAGTTATAGAAATTTGAATAAAGAAAAATATACCAGTTGAGTGTACTGATGCTTATTCAGATGAGACCAACATCCTATCAAATGCTTGCCCTTATCTCCTGTAGTGCTGCGTGCCACTCAACGTGGCGTAAACGTAAAGAATGCAAGGAAATGGAGGAATTTCCTTCCAGAATGTCTAGGTATGTTAGTAAATGTTTCATGATTTTTTTCCCTAGGGACCTGAATTCCCAACACCTAATGAAAATAATCTGGAACTGAAAACTACTTATGACTTCAAAACTGTGGCAGAAAATTTCAAACATTCAATGCTTTAAAACCTACTACTAAATAAGCACAAGAAGAGCAAAAAAGTTTCAGTGAAAGAATTCCTTGATGTTGCAGAGAATTCTGTTTGGGATTATCTCCAAACCAACAAGAAATTTCTTACAGAACGTCTATATGTGTACGTAGATACACATTACATGTCATACATATATGTACACACAAGTGTGTTTTTTATCTACATGTCCATGCATGCACACACAAACATCTAGACATCTATACACACAAACATACATTTTTCAGAAAGAGAGTAGAGTCAGTACTGTTGACTTACCTGGTTCACCAAGGGGAGTAGCTCAAGAGAAGCGAATAAAATTTTGGAGTTGTGGGTCCATATATATACCCTCTTAAACTTAGGCGTTAGTTATACAACATATCTTGTTGCACGCATTATTCCTTGGGTTGATGTAATTGGAGTCAATGATTTCCGTATTTTTGGTGTCTGATGTTCTGACACATATGTAATACCTTTAGAATTTCTTTCATCTTAAAACAAGAAGAAATGGGCTCAGCACATTTCTAGTAAAATTGCACGGAATTCTTTGAAGTTGGATGGATAGGAATAATTTTGGGAGATGTTTAGACCATTACTGGTTGTGCAATGTGCGTGTAGGTGCTCCATTTGCTTGGCTTTTGCATCTACAGTGCAAAGGGAGAAAAAGGAGTAGGCTTTTCTTTGGTGTGCCGAAAAGGAGTAGCGCTTCTATTCAGCACCATCATGACCTGTGCATGCTGCCCTGTCGTGGTGGTGGGGATCTCTTGCTGGCAGCTTTGTTTGTTTTTTGCCTCAGGTTCTACAACACAATTTGGAAGAAAATTTTCAGCTGCCTTATGAATGTTCCAAAATACTTCTTTCTATTTTAGAAGAATTTTTGAAAAGTTTTTAGTTCTCATAAAACACATAATGCATCACCTTATTTGGACTTGGAAGCAAGAGACCTTGGTGTGTCTTGTAAGTGACCATATTATTAAATCTGGGGGTGTCTTTCGGTGACAAACTATTAATATTTAAATACTGCAACACTTTGCAAATTGAGAACATTAATGAGTGTTTATGAAGTGCTTTGGTATTCAAAATTCTGAGGAAGCCTCAACATCCTGCTTGCTCATTATTATCCTTATTTTATATTCAAATTAATGCCAGAAATTAGGTGAAGGTCATACAAGGAGCTCTGCAGTAAACTCCAGCATTCCTCACTGTGGTACCGAATTTGATACATGTGGTTGATTCTTTGCGAAGAAAATATTAAGAGTTCCTTGGAAAATAGCATTTAGTACATCTTGTGAAATCCTTATCATTTATTACTTTGCAGACCAAGTTCGTACTTGTATTCTCCACTTTGTTCTGCTGAACTCACGGTCAAGCCCTCTAGTGAACTAAACTGCAAACAATGCTGTAGTCGTGTTTCTGTTGAAAACATTTTTTCTGCTCATGCACCAGCATGACTTTCGTTTGCCATGAACACTTTGGAGGAATGCAGTTAAGATTTATTTGTAGTTTGTGCTGGTCCTGTTTCCTGAAGTTGCTATGTAGTTTAATATTAAATACCTAAAAATGTGTTTACATTTCCTTTAAACAGGAAACCTGTGCCATGATGCGTCAGAGTTTGTAGTGAACAACAGATATTTTCAAACACATTTTCCTTTTTTACTGAAAATTTCTCCAGTGGCTTTGGGAACTTACAAATGCTTTCATATTATATAAAAATAAACTTCAGTTTTGACAGTGAAGACAATAAAATGGTATCAGGAATGTGGTTGGCCCAGAAAATTTTAAGATGAAAGAAACCTGTAATATATGTGACATATGGGAGGCTAGGAACACACTAATAATCCCAAACAATGAAGAAAATTATATTAATTGAAGATATGACGTGTACAGGCAAATTTGTTTTCCAACCAATAGGGCTACAAACCTTTTGAATACACAGGGCGTCTTAGATAAGCCGGGCGGGCAAAGAAACAGTATAAAAAGAGCTCAGAGCTCTAGGCTCCTCATCAGCTCTCTTGCCCTCCTCCTCCCAGTGAACTCGGTAAGCCTTTCCTTCATTCAGTCTCTTCATAAGGGTTAGAAATTTCAGTTTAATAATTTGTTAGGATTGTGGCTTCTCTGAAATTTAAGATTTCTCTGTACCTTCTATCTTTGCTTACTGAGTTGCAGGAACTGACACATGCAAGTTTTAAAGCTGGGGCTGAAACTCTTCTGGTCCTGTTGGTACCTGGGGTATCTGGCTCCCTGATATAAGAGTCTCTGGTTATTAGGTCTGCAGAGCTGCCAGCAGCAGAGTCAGAGAAGGGTTTCCCCACTGTGGCCCTTAGTGCGTTCTTCCCTAAATCTTCTAATTTATTTTAAGGGAGATCTTCAGGTCCATTTGGCAGGACAGCAGATGTTCTCATGTGTGCTAACACCCTGTAGTTTCTTGTGTGCGCTGTCTGCTTTTCCGCAGGACAATTGAAATTGGTGTAAATTACTGAAATGGGACTTGGAGCAATAGACCCAAAAGTTGAATTGTATTATCATGGCAAACATCAGCCACTTCAGGCTTTCTTGAAGGATTTGGGAATGTAGAGCTCTATGCGAAGCTGATAACCTAAAAGAAATTTAGGGTTATAAACTCCTACCAATATTCTCTAACAAAAATCTGAAACAGCAGCAAGGGGGTTTTGATCTGCAACAGGTATGTTCCATAGTCAGTGCTTTCACCAATCTCAGTAAGCAAGAAAAGAAATAAAATTATTTGAAAAGAGTGGGTAAATGAGAAAATTATAGAAATGGGATGTAATAAGGAGTTGAGAAATTTGGTCACGATTTTGTTTCTGTCCTTGGTCTTATGGGGTCAGTGAAGAAGTCTTTGGGCCCTGAGACTGTTAGTGCCACTGGAAGTATTTATTACTTTTGCTTTCTTCCCTGCTGCTGCGTTGCAGGTTTGCCTCTCTCGCAGAAAGATGACTTTCCTCCAAGGCCGCTGCGATGATGACTGCTATTCTCCCTGCAATTATTTTTATGGCTACCGTGGCTTCGACTGTGGGAGCCCCTGTGGATACCGGGGCTATGGAGGCCTCTACGGCTACCGGGGCCTCTATGGTTTTGGGGACCGGTACGGCTATGGTGGTCTGTACGGTTACCGGGGCGTGTATGGCTCTGGGGACTGCTACGGCTATGGGAGTCTGTATGGCGGCTATAGGGGCCTCTATGGCTCTGGGGACTGCTATGGCTACCCAGGCTTTTACTCCGGCCGCTACAGCTACCCCTTCAGTTCACGATATGGCCAAAGGTTTGGCTACGGAAGCTGCTACACTTGCTAAACCCAGCAGGAACGTCCCTATAGTGAAGATCAACAGAGGCCCAGCAAGCATGGATTGATGGTGAACCTTGGCAGCAGCGGTCCCTGATGTGCAGAGCCCTGGTGACAGCAGCCACCATCCACGGAGGCTTTGAGCGCTCTGCGCTGCTGTTGAAGCGCTTGCAATGATTTATCTTTATTCTGTTCTGTGTCTGCTTGCTCTCTTGCTGTCAAAACTCTCCTTTGCTTCTCCTTGATACCACAGTTCTTTGTAAACTGTTTTTTGTTTGTGGAAGTGATATACAAAACGTTAACTCTGAATGAATGGTATAGGCAGGGTGTAATGTGTTTTTGGGAATGTACTCTTTCAGTTCTGTATGCCTTTAAAAGTACGTCTGCCTTTCACTCCTATTAAAAATTATGCTGCATCAATACTGTATTTCTGGTTTTATTTCTCACTTGAATTTCTTAAATATCTTGAAATCGATAGCATCACAGATTGAGTGACAAAGTTATTAAGTTTGTGTACTCAAGGATTTGCCTGTAGAGACTCGCCCTCCTCAAGCTGAGAAACATGGACTTTTGTAGCTGCAAGAAACTTCAGTTCTAGCTCTGATTATGCATGTTTCTACAGCTCTGGGCTTTTGCTGCTTGTGTTCCAAATAAATGGTTCATTTAAAATATTTCAGTGCTGCTGTTGGGCTAATGTGATGTGATTAGGACATGATCCATCACCAGCTGTCATCTGATATTGAAGAGGTCACAGGTAACTGCAAATGTGTGGACTCATCAGGTTTTTAATTTTGAAATAAGTTTGTGCTTTATGTATTATCATAGAATCACTAAACAGCCCAGGTTGGAAAGGACCTGGAAAGATCAAGATTGAACAATTAGGGATTCCCCGATGGAGAAGTGGGAGGACTTTGCCCTTTGCAGTGTAAATAATTTGGCAGGAGGAATGGATATCCACTGGCCAGCACTTCTGAGGCGTGGCAGTGGGGTGTTTTTGTCTGTCAGTTCAGGGAAGCGTGCTCAGAGCCTACGTTTTGGAAAGAAGCAGAGTCAAGACAGATTTTTACCATCTTATTTTTTTCTCCCACTGAATGTTATGGGAAGAGGCTGTAGAACCTCTTGGCTGTGCCTGCATGAGGAGGAAGATAATGGTACTTTCTCATTGCTTCCCTGGCCAGGGGCAGCTGTCAGACAAGAGCTACCAAAATGCCCTGAGGAGATTGAGTTATGTTTCCTTTGGTGGTTTTCTCTTGTTTTGTTGTTGTGGGTTTTTTTTTGTTTGGTTTTTTTTTTTTTTTTTTTAGAATTATTTGCCTTTTTTCCCCCCACTTTTCTGTCTTCTAGCTTTTAGTCCTTGGATTTAGTGAATTATTGTAATTGCGCTTGTAGAAATTAATTTTTTTCTGTGCAGTGTATGTGTGGAAGATCAAGGCAGGGTTTTGAGTTTTCAAGGCCAGCATCAAGATAGGAAAAGCTACCACTTCCTCCTTGACACTCCCCCATTGCTTTTAATATAGGTTTTTTTATGTTCCAATGGCTGGTAATGAAATTTGTCTGTTAAATTGGAATGTGATGGGAAATTGTGACTCTGGAACAAGAGAATTTGAATTTGGTTTTGAGGAATCAGACAATATTCTGCTTGCTTGAACACTATTATATACCCTCTATAGAGGCCTGGGACTAATCCTTTTCCATTTCAAAACATTATAATAAAGACTATTACAGCCCTATTACGCTGAAATATGTTAACCTTAAATCTGGTAATAGTTTCAATTAAGTAAAGGAAGGGGAGAAGTTGTAGCATTTCTCATTTCTGAGGTGTAGAAGGGAAGAAAAGAGTATATTTACTGGGACCAGCTGCTCTGAATATGGAGGAGTAAGAAGTGCTTTGCCAGCACTGGGGACAGAAAGTCCCTTCAGGATATCACCACTCAGTACATTCATGTAAACTAGGGACAGAGGAAAGATGATGACTGGAACTCCAATGGTTTCTTTTCATGCAGAAAAATTTAATGCAATAAGAAAAAGAGTTGGCACAGATACAGGAAGGTTATAGTTTTGGAATACTGGAAAGAGCTACAGAAAATGAGTCATTGCACTATGCTACACAGAACATTCCTTTTTGTTGAACTGGTGTTCATCCCTTTAGGTACTTGTAAATCCAGATCAAAGGAGAGACAGCTGTAATACTTCTCCATTACACAGTACTGCAGCACCTTACTGGAAGTCGTTATTGAAAATGCAGATGACACAAAAGTTAATTTTGCACAAGTCCTTTAACACCACTGTGGCAATTGTAAGAAGCTTCAAACGAGACGCAGCTCGTTGTTCCCATTGCTGAAGGGGTGTAAAGGAGTTAAATGCAGGAGCGTATCAAGAGAGAACTCATAGAAAGACAGGAAGAAGCAGACAGGAAAAAAAAACCCAACAAAAATACAAATGCCAAGAAATTTTAGAGAGCAGCCAAGCTCGCTGTTGTCAGTAACTTCAGTTGCTGTCACAGGCACTCAGCACTTCAGTAAATACTGCCTCTCAGGTCAGCCACTCATCTTTGCTTGCTGGGTCGTGGTTGGTCCTTGTTGCAGGGATATGGCCACTGGGTTTAGCAACAAGTGTAGTAGCACCCAGAGTTGTAATTGCAGCAGGAAGGGTAGTAGTATCTGGTTGTGCGTGTGGTCCCGTAGCTACAGCAGTCTCCGCAGTTATACCTGCGCTGGTACCTGCACAGGGTCCGGTAGTTGCAGGGGTTGCAGCAGCTGTAGGTCCGGGAGCAGCGCACGGTCCTGTAGCAGGGCGAGCAGCACACGCTGTAGCACGGGTACCCGTAGCAGCAAGACATCTTGGTGTGGTGGAGGGAGGCAGGCAAACCTGAAAGAAAGCAGCAGGTAATGGGTAGGCTGATCTTGCAGGAAGCAACAGCAGAGGTGGCTTGGTGGCATGAGTGTGGTGGATTTGGGAAGAAATGTTGAACAAAACCCTCAGTCTTTGGATGTGATTTTGGCTTCCATTTTATCCAGCCCTTTTCTGTGCTCCCTCCTTGTTAGATTCAATACAGTTTCTATTATTTAGCTTCTCTTAAAAGTGAACATAATACCCTGTGTTTTTGGGCTTTGGATACAGGCAGTTCAGCTTGCAGATCTACATCCAAACGTATATGCTCATGAGCGTTTGGTGTCCAAGCTCCCAGCACAGGCGGCTGAGTCAATCCTGACAGCTAGTCTGCAGCTCAGGGTATGCACGTGTAGATGTTCTAACGTCTGACCTGAATCCCACA